TGCACAGGGAGAACATGCAAACTCCATGCAGAAAGACCCGGGAATCGAACCCAGAACCTTCTTGCTGCAAGGCAACTAACTGTGGCATTTGCAGGCCTTATCATCCATCCATCCATCCATCCATCCATATAACAGCAGACAGGAAGTTTCTGAAATTTTTATATTCAGCAGAAATCAATAATCGGATCCTGAAAGGTTTCAGGTTCTTCTGGATCTTCCAGATGTTTCTGTAAATTCTCTGAAATGTTCTGGACAGGAAACCTTCATCATCATCTTCATCAGCTGGAGTCGTTTGTGTCCATCATCAGGTTCATAGTGTTTACATCATGTGACCTCATCATCATCATCATCATCATGTTGACACAAACTGGTTAATTAACTCTTATTGAAAAAACAGCCATGCTAACATGCTAATGTACAGCAGCTGTGACCCATGCAGACCTCCCTCCCAGTCCTCCCAGTCCTCCCAGTCCCCATCTCTAACTGGTCCCCTCTCCCCACCCTGCTGCTGTATTAAAAACTTTTTGGCTTCACCTGAAGATGGAACAGATTTTGAAGCTAAATATTCAGACGTAACAAACAGAATAAAAGTTTCTAAAACTACTTCTGTTTAAATAAAGTTCCCACAGTCAGGCTGCAGCTCCAAAGGCCTTCTGGGTAATGTAGTGTGGTGACCGTTCATGTGTCTCATGTTTGGCTCTGAGCCAGGAACAGAAATGTTTCTGCTTCCAGTGAAGCTCAGCAGGTCGGTCCGCTCTGAGATCTGCTGAATCAGCGTTCCTATCAGGCCAAATCAATTATTACTTATTGATCAGTCTCTCGTTTTAATATCTGAAATCCTGGCAAGCAGCATTTCCTAATTTATCCACAGTTTCACTCCAGCTTCTTTTCCCCCTAGCCCTCCCAGTAGCTCCCAGTAACCTGTACTGGTCTCCAGCTCCCAGGACGGCCAATCGCCTGAAGCTTTTTTTGAAGAAGATTTTGAACTTTGGACTGAGACACACAAACTCCGCCCACTGGCCTTATGGCCTCCAATCAGAGCTGACCACAGCCTCTGTAAGCCCCTCCCTATATGCAAGCCCCTCCCCCTCCAGCAGACATGATCAGTAAACAGTTGTCATGGTTACACTTCCTGTATCGAACAGAAAATTTAGGAAATGTTAAAGGAAAATGTCCGACAGCGAGTGGATCTCTGGTAGCGATGGTGACATCACGGTGACATCACAGTGACATCATGGCGACGAAATCCACTGGGAGGTTAGCTCTCGCTCTCCTCGGGAATGTCCTGGAGATCTGGGGGTCACAGAGCGGCGGTTACCATGGTGACAGTGAGGCGCCCAGCGGTGACGGCGGTACTGACCTCTGGGACTGTCGGAGCGCGGCGAGATCTTCATCACTTCCTCCTCCTCCTCCTCCTCAGGCCCCTCCTCCAGGCCATCTAACTGGTCGACAGGATCCTCTACGGCCAACGGGGCGACGGCGGGCGGCTCGGCCTCCAGCTTCCTGTCAACCTGTGGGGAGACACAACGGACATCAGCGCTGTTCGCCGCGCCGCATCACCTGGCTATCCGGACGCACCTGCTGGTCCTTGGAGGCGTCGCCCTTCCCTTTGTTCTTCTTCTTCTTCTTTCCGGACCCCGCCCCCTTCTTGCCGCCCTCCTCTGTCTTCAGACGCAGCCGCGACAGCTCCTCCTGCAGCAGCTCCACCTGCCGCCGCAGCAGCACCACCTCGCCGCTGGCGTCCAGCGCCGCATCGCGCGACATCGACCGCACCAGGCGGGGGGCGGAGCCCGGGCCGGCCGGGGGGGCAGCGCCCGCCGACAGCTCCAGGATCGAGTCCTGCCGGATCACCGCCGCCTGGGGGCGGAGCCAAACACAGCTGTTACATCACTTCCTGCTTCAACAGGAAACGCTTTGAGACTGGAGGAACGGACCTGCAGGGCGTGAAGCTGCGTGCTGAGCCCGACCAGCCGCTGACGCACTTCCTGTTGACATAAAGCGGGTCAGAACCAGGTCAGACCCGGTTCTGGGTCTGACCCGTTCTGTCGGCTCAGCCTAACCTCTGAGCCGACTGAAAGCTGATTGGTCGAAGCAGAAACAGGAAGTAGTGGTTACCTCGTTCAGGGTCCGTTCCTGCAGCTGGTTTCCGTTCCGGTCCTGAAACACGAAACCCGGTCAGAACCAGAACCTTCACAGTCACACACACTCTGATGAACCGGGTCGAGCCCAGCTCTTATCTGCCGCCTCCAGATGACTCGCTGAAACAGAACCATTTTGGAGCGCCGGCCAGCCGAGGAAAAACGGACCCGCCCAGAACTGCAGAGCGATACCGCCGCCATGCAGCTGCTCCTGTTGCCATGGCAACACCCCAACTGGGACCAGTCAGAACCTTCATCAATAATCTGCGAACCTATACCAAACCTACACTGGACCTGATCTCAGGCCCGGCGGCATTGGGGGGCTTTGTCCGCCCACAGAGTCCGCCGGCCCCCTGGACTGGAAGCTGTTTGTTGTTTTTACCTCAGAATGGCCAATTTATTCCTAAATCGATTTGACACAGTCGGGCCTTCTGCACTTCCCATATCTGTGTCCTATGTCACTTTTATCAGCACTTAAAACTGTTTAATCCGTTGTTAACATGTCGTAACCTGTTTTTCCGAGCCGTCTTCAAACGCAACATGAACGCTAGTGAAGGAGACCTGCTGCTGCTGGGCGGAGCTACAGGTGTGTTAGAATCACGGCAGCAAAACACAAAGAACTTTAAACAGTTTTTCCCCCAAACTAACCGCCTGTTGAGTGAAGCTGCTGGATGCAGGTAATGTTAGCTAGAAGATGACTAGCTAGCTAATATCAATACAGCACCTTAAGCTCTTTAACTAGTAGCTTGTAGGCTACTGGTGTTGTTGTCTCGGCTTCGATTCATTTTGCCCCCCCAAAATAAGTCGGTGCCCCCCTCTTAAACTCGTCTGGAGCCGGGGCTGCCTGAACTGGACCTGAACCGGCTCAGACTGAGTAGAAGCAACAGAGTTCTGGTGGAAGGAGCTTTACCTTGGAAGAGCTGTTGAGTTTAAAAGAACCGTTGACAGAACCCGAGTCCCCATCTGAAAGAGAAACAGGTGAGAGGAGGTCGGAACCATGCCAGGTAAAGAGCAGAACAGGTGTGACTCACTGCTGATGTCCTGGTTGCCGTTGGTTATGGAGGATTTCTGATTGCTGGTGTCAGACAGCAGCGCCGCCAGTTTGTCAACTGAAACAAGAAACAGAGAAGGAAAGTCAGATTAGGGTAACCCTAACCCAAACAGAACCAACAAGGACCAAGCAGATGTCCAAGCCTGTCCAACCAGCTAAGCAGAGCCTCCTCACCTTCTCCAATGGCGGCCAGGAGGAGCGGTTCTGCTTTGGGAGCGTGCGGCGTGTCGGCTCTGAACAGGTTCCGGTTAGAGGAGGAGGTTTTTGCCTCCACATGCTGCTCCTCTCCGTCTTGTCGCGCCGTGGCCTGGACCAGGTCGGAGAACAAGGTGGCCCGCTCCTGCAGGAGCTCCAGAACCTCCTTGTCCTTCTGCTGGATGTCAGCTGTGGAGACAGGCAAGGAAGAGGAGGGACAGAGGGGTATTAGGACCTAACTTCACTCAAGGTCAGAGGTCAGAGGTCACCAGGAGCAGCATATGTACCTCTGAGGCGGCGCTGTAAAGCTTTGTCTTCAGTCTCAATGAGAGGAAACTCGTCTCTGGAAGGACAGCTGCAAAGAAAACGTGACAAGTTTTACAAACCAGTTCAGCCACAAAACAAGAAGGAAACTACGTCACTGTGGTTCACTGTAGTTGGGCGTAGCACTGACCTCTGAGCGGCCTTCTGGATGCAGCTCATCCACGTCTTCCGGTCGTCTTTGGACGAAGCGTACAGCTCGTACATCTCTGGAGGGGCGGAGTCACTGATCAGGTACATCCCTTTTTCCTGATTGGCTACTTCTCTGACGATCAGCTTGGTCAGGGAAACCACAGGGGACTTGTCCTGAGACACAGGAGGACAGACAGGTGAAAAGACAGAGGACAAGGTCCCTCAGAGACAAGCCCAAGTTCACAGGTTTTTAAAGGTGATAAAGGTGAAATCAGGTGTGACTCACCAGTGACGCAAAAGTGAACTTCTGGTCCTTTTCCTGGAGGAAAACTAAGATGTCTGACATCAGCAAGACCTGCACATCTGGAGAGAGCAGTGAATGTTGTCATCAGGTGTTCCCCTGGTATCAGCCAGGTGTCCCCGCCCCGCCTACCTTTCATCCTGGAGCCCTGCACCTTCCAGGTGAGCGTCCCCTCATGGAGCAGCTTCCTCCTCAGCAGCTCCCCCCCTCTGAACGCGCCGCCTCCCTTCACCTCAGCCTGGGCCCGCGGGTCCAACCGGGCCTGGACCTCCTGCAGCCTCCGGTTCCGGTCCAACTCCAGAACCTCCTGATCCACCGAGCCGATCAGCTCCTTCAGAAGAACCAGGGCCTCCTGCAGGTCTCGCCGCTCGTCCGGACAGCCTGCAGGGGGCAGAGCGGGTCAGCGCCACCACCGGGTGGGAGGAGCACCTGGTGTGGGGGCGGAGCCTCACCTTTGGTGTTGTCCAGGATCCTCTGGATCAGAACCGGGTATTTGGTGATCCGCTGGGTGACCAGCAGGATGCATTCCTGGACGCCATGGCGACGCAGCAGAGGACCGCGACAAACCCGCTGATTAACACAGAAAGAAACCGGTTTAATCTGGATACCGTCCAGCAGCACCCACTTTAATCCAGTTCCAGTTCAGTCAGTGTGAACCGGAGTGAATCTGGTTCTGCTCCTCACCCTGATGAACTGCTGCAGCCTGCGGTCTCGGTTCAGCACTTCTTTGTAGAGTTTCACTGCTTTGGGGTGGCGGCTGCAGAACTCGGAGTAAAGCTTCTTCATGTCTTCAGCACACTGACCTGAAAACTGTGCACACACACACACACACACACACACAGTTATTAGAAACATGTTCTGTCCCATCAGAACTCTGAAGCTGATGTTCACGTATGTCTCCAGAGCCGCTGCTAGCTGCTGTGCAGCGCCTGGCCCCCCAATGGGAGTCACTAATAAATTCTGTATTTTTCACTGCATTTCTCCGAATTTGTGGAGGAACATTAAGGATCAAGAAGTCAACAGATTTAAAGTGTTTTTAAAACAAGGAAACAAATAAAATATCATGATTTAAATTGGGAGAACTAGGACTCATATGAAGACACTTTGCTGTTTTAACATGTTGTACTGCTTTGGTGCAAAATCATCTAAAAGGTCCAGGTATTCATCACTTCACTTATGTAACTTTGTCTTTTATAGGAATATTGAGGAATGTGCCTTTTAAAGGAGATCTAATGGGAAATAATTCATATTTGTTTAGATTTAGAGTGGAACCAAAAGCTTTGGAGAAGGTGTTGATGATTTCAATAGAGTTTTTTATTGGGGCCTGCCTATGCAATGCAGGTGTTTATTATTATTATTATTATTATTGGGGTCTGCCCATAGCAATTCATAGGGAGAGCAGTAGACTGTCCACTGCTCTCCCTATGAATTGCATGGCAGGCACTTATTGTTCTACACCCAATAAGGTGTTTATTATTATTATCATTATTTACTCTTCTTACGTCACCCTTAATGCAGCCCTGCTGCATCCACCCCGACAAAGGGTATCAAAATGTGCAGCTTGCTCCCATTAAGTGCGCTATTATTTTTAGTGGCATTCTGAGTTTAAAATGACGACATAAATTGCGAAAAACGACAAAATCCCATAGAAGTCAATGGAGGCTCCACTGTGTCTTTCTCTCCCACACAAACTTGCAGCTGCAGTCGTTAATTACCATGGTAACGGGTCCGAAGGGCCCAGACAGAGGCAGAGAGGAGAGAAGCCTTTCACAACAGAGCTGCGAGAGCTTTTCCGCAATGTATTTTGGGAAACGTATTTAAATGTCATTTCTTAACTGGCAGTTCTGATTGTCAAGATGTCTCCTACCCAGCTAGCAAGCAAATGTTCGCCGAACGTCTGAATGTTCACTCTGAACATTCGTGCATTATGGAAAAAAATATTTTTGCTGTAATTTTATTTAATCACTTTTAATATCTTTAAAACCTTTATGGTGGTTAATATTTTTGACAAAATCTCTATTCAAGTTCTTTTAGAATGTCTGCATCTGAACGTGTAACGTGTAAAACTGCGGTTACTAGCGTCAATACCCTATTTAGCCAGTAGAGGGCTCCACGCCTGTCCAAACATTATTCTCTCCATTCAAAATATGGTGATAAGTCCAATTTTTCTCATTTCCTTTCCTGCATAATTTACATTGCATTTATTCTAACGTAATGTAAATGTATCAAAGGAGAGTAATACTTAAATAAAAGTCATTTAAAAGTACTTTCATTTGGAAAATATGTATATTCTACCGAGTGACGTCACTTCCCAACCTGGATTGTATTCGGATTTCTGCAGTCATGAAACAACGCTTCTGTATTTCACATGAAACTGATGGGATCAGTTCGGCAAGTTATTGGCTTCCATACTTATTTGTATCATATTCTAACCAAGCATGTTAGACCACGTGGCGCCATTATCTCATTTCTTCTCAACTTTGATTGTAAGTTTGATGCAGCCAGAAACATATTTCTGTGTGAAGTTTCCTGCTCCCCTAACTCACCAAAAATGGCTGAAAAGGCATACCCAAATTAAATCAGCTGCTGTTCTTGGACAATTTGGAGTACCTGCAAAAGCCTGGTTTCTTTATGAAGATTACAAGCTAAATTTTCTATTTTAGCAGGCAAAAAAATACTTTAACTGTAAGTAGTTTGTAGCTATTACATTTGTAATACAAAATTTTTTAAATATTTTGTTTCACCCAGATTTTTCATTTTTATTTCTTGTAAAGACACATTGAGTGTTGAATGTATGGACTGGGAAATACAATAAATCTGTAGAATAAAGTATTCTGCTTGTGGATTTCAAGTTGGATCAAAATAGCACAAAAGAAATGTCATTTTGAGGATGTACAGGTGTTGTCCAAGTGTGCCATTTGGAGTCTCCATTTGGTGTCTCCAAATGGTACACTAGGACAACATCTAATATACAAACTTCTAATGACTGAAACTCAATGAGGAACGGATCAACGAGGCTCTAATGAAAGATGATGACCAGAGGAATCCTCCGGTAGACACATTACTGATAGTGGAAATTACTTATAATTATATGAATAAAATAGCATATCTGGGGGGGGTTAGCGTACAGTCAGACCTCCTTCCCCTTCTTGCAATACACTGTCCGTCCGTCCGGCACCCCCTAACCCTACCCTCCTTCTTCGCCCCCCTTCTGACGATACACTAGCCCCCCCACCTTCTCTCCTTCTTTGAACCCCTCCCTCCGGCCGTTCCTCCCGTGCCACCAATTCCCTCGGTCCCCCATTCTCGCTCTTCGGTACGCTCTACCCACCTCGCTCTGACTGTATCAGCGGATGACTAAAAGCTTCCGGTATTCTCAAATCCAAAACTTGTCTTACAGTCATAATTCTCCACTCCCATGAGTTGTGAAGTTCTGCTGAAGAAATACATCCAGTTTTGATACATGGCTATGCATGCAGCTGGTGGATTCATGTCAAAACAAACCCCAAAATGCCTTATATCCTTATGACAGGACAGGTGTTGGCTACACATCAGTGGCTTTAGATTTAGTTTCCCAGTTGACCTGTCAGAAATATTCCAGAAAGAATACAGGCATGTCAAAACGAGCTCAAGTTGCTCTCTGGATATTATTGGCTCGGAAAAAGCCATTTCATAACATTATTGGTAAAATGCGGTGTCAATCAAAAGTGGGGGGGCTCTCGGCTGCCCAGTAAAAGCGTCATAATGGACACTGGCAGAGTTTAAACCCTTAAATCTCAGCCCCGGAAAATACAATGGAAAAACGGCACGCGTGCATTCCCGTGTGGGTTAAGGGGGGTAAAGAAAATAAATGCATTAATACTTAGGGTTTATACAGTCAAATGTGCAAAACTTACTGACATTTTCCAACACAGCCATGAGAAGAGACAGCTGGTAATCGGAGTTACACCATTTAATTTTCCTTTGGGATCAATGAAGTATATTTGAATTGAATTATTTTTAGATCCATAGGTGGAGAATCTACAGGACTAGTAAGCACCAAAGTGGACTAGTTTCTATAAACTAGTTGATGGTTATAGATGAACAAAAAATCTAAATGTTCAGTCTGATCCATAACAGCATGTTGTTGTTGACCCTGTTTATCCTGAGCTACCTGAGCTACTGTCACCTCACTAAACACCACCTGTCTTTTCCTTCTCTCTGGATCATCAGCTATAAAATAATATGCAGCTGGACATATTAATGTCAGGGCATTAACTGGTATCACAGCACAAACTAAGTGATGTTCTGCTTAATGCAAGTTGTAATTCAATTACCAACGAGTCCTAATGTTTATCTCATTATTTCAAGGTCCTTCAAAGAGTAGTTGATGCTGAGCAGTCTGTGTTACAGCCTCTGACTGAAGACACTGTTTTTCTAATTAAGAGAAACTCAGAGATTTTCATATTTCTCCTTAATGAACATCACTGGTGTTTCATACTATTAATAATAATTATTTGAATGTTTCCTTTAATAGATTTGCTTAAAGTTATGGTGGATTTTTCTGCTATGTAATTTCAGGTGACAACTTGAAAGTAAGGTAGAAATGTCGCCTAGCTGAAGATGTCAGACCTCAAAGAATAAGCCCAGGAGGATCAGGGTGAAAAGTTTTTCTATGGCAGTAATTGGGATTATTAGCTGCACAGAGTTGTTCATGGTTTCCTTCAGCTTGATCCCTTTATGTTGCTTCATTGGGATTAGGAGTTTTAAAAACCACCTGCCATTTCTACAGTATTACAGACCACTTAGAAATACATGACAATGAAGTAGTTCAGAAACGATGACTGCTTGACCGCCTTCCATACCGCATCCCTGTAGTGTCTCATGGAGAACCAGCGACCCAGCCTGTATACGATGTTGATGGCATCTGGTAGTTTTTCTTCTGGCAAATGGAAATAACCTTGCTACGAACATCTTCTCCTTCTTCTTCATCTATTCCCGAAAGCCGCAAGTCCCATCTTCTTTTATAACGTGAAAGTTCGAGCAGCTCATTTTCCATTTGCAGCATCTTTTTTTCTGATTTCTCAACTCTTTTGACGGTTTCTGTCATCTTCTCTTGCATTTCTTTCATTTCAGCATGGATATAATCCACTGAATCTTTGAGATCATTTATGCTAGCTTGCAGACCGTCCGCTCTCTCGTTTATCAACTTTAAAGTTGCTATGATGTAGGGGAGAGCTTGCAAAGAATGACCACTCACGCCAATGTTAATGAAGAATCTGTGACCCATCATTTTCTGTGACCGCAGCAGGCGATACTGAGTAAATACTGATACAGCTGGGATTGTAAGATTCACGTCTCCTTTATTACCATCGCAATGACGGAGAAAATAAAATGTATTACTTTGTATTTGAGGCTGAACAGTGACCACTGCATCGCATCCCTATGTGCTGTCGCTAAAATATGTAAACCAACCGTGGCCGTTTAATAAACCGGTAACCGATTAAGAAATGGATCACACTGGTCACAGATTATTCTGGCCAGAATAATCAAGCTATCGCCCCCTGCAGTCACACATTTGTCACACATTTTTCTGTAACACCTCCATCTTGTTGGGCCTCCAGTCCCAACGAGATATAATGCTGCTAAATAATGCTGTTTGCTGTTTCCAGTGACGTAAATCACGAGCAAATCAAATGGTTTCGGTGCCGTACCCTGCTGTGCTGCTAATGCTAACCCTGGAGTAGGTAGGAAAGTCTGATAACAGTCGAACTAAGCGGCGCCGGATCTGCTAATGGAAACTGAATCTGGTTGGGGTGGACCGGGAAAGAACTGGACCGAACCGGTTAGAGACGCTCTGGTGGAAAGGCATCTTTAGTTCAGTCAAAACCTCCTAATGTGGACGTCCTCCATCACTCCACAGGCGGAGGAAGTGGGTCGGCTGAATTCAGTACCGCTGGAGCCCTGCAGGGGGAGCCGTCTCCCTCAGACTGAAAACCGGACCTTTATTCTGGCTTCATGTTGTGACTTCTCAGGTGAGGTGGCCAGGTGAGACTCACCAGCAGCTAGTCTTTGTATTGATTTTGTGTGCAAATAAAATATTCTATTTAACTGGTTCCTTAGACCTGAACCTGCCAGGTTCTGCCTGGTTCTGTCCAGACTCCAACTCCCTCTGACCCCCTTTGACTCCACAGGTGAGCTTACCTGTCGCAGCAGCAGGTCGCCCAGGCGGCGGACAGTAAAGTTGTTGGCGCTGCCCTCCTGCAGCCCGTCCTTCCTGCGGCTCAGCAGCTGGGACAGGAAGTTGGCGTGCAGCTCCAGCAGCTGGTCTAGGCAGGGGAAGATGGTGTGGACCACACCTGCCTCCAGCAGCACCTCCTCCTGCATCCCTCGCCGGTAAACACCCTCCATGATCCGCAGCGTCCGGACGTGGTGGAACTCCGTCTGGATCAGCTCTGAGACATGGGACGGGTGGAGGCAGATGGGTGGAGGCAGAGAGGTGGAGACAGATGGGTGGAGGTAGAGAGGTGGAGACAGATGGGTGGAGGTAGAGAGGTGGAGACAGATGGGTGGAGACAGAGAGGTGGAGGCAGACAGGTGGAGGCAGAGAGGTGGAGGCAGATGGGTGGAGACAGATGGGTGGAGACAGAGAGGGAGACAGATGGGTGGAGACAGAGGTGGAGAGGTTGAGACAGAGAGGTGGAGGCAGATGGGTGGAGACAGATGGGTGGAGGCAGATGGGTGGAGACAGACAGGTGGAGACAGAGAGGTGGAGGCAGAGAAGTGGAGACAGAGAGGTGGAGGCAGATGGGTGGAGACAGAGGTGGAGAGGTTGAGACAGAGAGGTGGAGACAGAGGTGGAGGCAGAGAGGTGGAGGCAGATGGGTGGAGACAGAGGGGGGGAGACAGAGGGGGGGAGGCAGAGAGGGGGA